GGGCCCTTTGATCGCGTGAGGCAGCGTCGGTTTGGCTCTTGCGACGTCGGTGCGTCGCGACCCCAAACATAGGTGGCAGACTGGATCCTGCAGTCTCCTGCCCGCCATCGTCCGCGAGCGCATGCAGTTCTTCTCTGGGTGCGATGAGTGGAAGTGGTGCGCGGCGATCACTGAATCCAGGAGCCTGCCTCTGTGGATGAAGAAATGGGCCAGCGGCAACCCTGTGCGGGTGCGCTGGATGACCGGCATGATGAATCAGACTACGCATGTCGCCACTGCTCGGTGCGGAGGCCTTATGTACGATCGAGCGCGGAACATTCTTGGGCCGAGGCGACCCCTGGACGCGGGCGGCGCGGGAAAGGGGACGAAGATCGCAGCGGCATGGGACCCCGTCGTTCCGGCAAATCACAGTGACGACACAGTCTGTTTAGATGAGCATGTCTTCATCATCTCCTCGGTTTGCGGGGGGTCATTATGCCGGCGCGTGCCAGCCATAGGAGTTCCTCAGTGCGAAAGGATGGGCTCATATCGACCAGCCCACATCGCCTCTTTGTACAATGGCATGCCCCCGAGCTATTTGACCCCCGTACTCTAGTCGTTCGTCGCCCCTGTGGCCTGACTTTCGCGCGTCGCACGGGCTTCTTTGGTGGCGACCTGCCCCGGGAGGTCGGTGCGCCAGGCCGTTCCGTCAACTATCTTCGTGCGAGTGGAACTCTGATTTGTGGATCTGCGTTGATGTCCGAAAGTCCTTTAGGATGAGAGGTGGATTCTGGTTTGCCCAGCAGGGCGCCGTGATATCGTCTGGGGCGCTGGTGGCGTCGTTCTTCCAGTGCGTGCGTCGCGGCGGCGGGCGTTAAAGTCCAGATATGGTTGCAGCCCGCGGCGGCACGCTCGTGAGAGGAGTCGCCCCACGGGGCCATTGAACTCGCGCGGGTGAGCAGGCGCCTTTCAAGCCGAAGCGCCCGCCGCAGGCACGGGACGATGTACTTTGGAAGTTCCAAGCGGCGCGGCGCGTGGAGAAGTTGCCACTGGGGACATCGGGCGCCGACGCAGCGAACAAAGGAGGTGCGGCGAAGCGCCCCGGCGCCGGGAGTGGCGCCGCGTCGGGGCAGACCGACGGCGACGACGACCGCGACGGATCGCGCTCTGCCAGACCTGGCTCGGCATTTGAGGGTCGCGAAGTGGCTCGGGGCGATGCCGCTTGCGGGGCGCAGCATCAGTCGCCCGCCTCGTGGCCCGACTCGGTGCATAGGATCCCGCGGCCACCTCGCGACGCAGCTGTCGTCGCCCCAGCGCCTCCCAGTGGGGCTCTGGATGGTGGAAGCGAGGTGCATCCTGCAATATTCGGCGTCCTGGCGTCGCGTGGGCCGCGGTCGGAGGCCGCGTTTCGCTCGCCGCCCCTGGCGCATTGGGCCGCGCGCTGATGTCGAAACCGCGCGCGGCTGATCTGGGCGAGCCGCGCAATCCCCATGTCAGGAAATCTTCTTGGGAGGCAGGAGCTGGCATGAGTTTCGTCTTGCCGGGGCTGCGAGATCGCGTGGTGGCGCGGACCTTATAAATATCAGTTGGCGAATGGCGCGCGCGCTGCAGCCGGCAATTTCGGGCCGCGGATCATTGGCCTTTCCTGCCACCAAGACCTCCGCGTCATCTCTGAACAGTTGATGGCAACGAACCCTCTTGATGATCAGGGATTGCGAAGAGTGCCGGACATCCCTGATCTGTATCACTTGAGGACCACGATGCCAGAGGTCACTGTCTCACGAGACGGAGTGGGGGACGCGGCGCGAGACATTTTTGGCGGCCCAGCTGCTTGGACTTGCTTCAGACGGGTTTGGCTGAAGTGGGCGTGATGCATGGCGCCGAAGATATGGCATTGGGCATTGATGGTGATTGAATCGTCTGTAACTCAACCAGACGGCGAGCGGCGAGCAGCCCGGGCCCTCGCTTGGGGCCGCGCCCTAACGCCCAGCCGTTGAGAAAGTTGTCGCTTCACGCGCCGCCCGATCAATAATGATCCCGTTCGTCTAACCGGCAGAGGCCGAGCGGGGCAGCCCAGCGCCGGCGACGCGCTTGAGCAATCCGACGCCGCGGGACAGCACTCTGCTCACGATAATGAATCATTTTGCTGGATTCGACGCATCGACTGCCCCCCGAGAGGGCGCGCCCGCAGAGCAAGTGAGAAAACGGAGCGCGAGCGTCGAGGAGGGGATCGTCAGCAATGCGCGCAAGCTGCGGCATTGCAAGGCCTTCAGTTTCGCTTGGCCCGATCTTTCGGAACGCGCGACGCTGGGGCGACATGGCTTTTCTACCCGTAGAGCAGCTGCCAGTGACCAACCGCAGCTACGGCGCATGCCGAGCTTGTTGAGCAGCGGACAGGCGCTCCCCTGCCCCATTGCAACCTCATGCTTACGACGGCCAACGCGTCAGGAAGTGCGGTTCGCCCAGGACAGCCTGTTCCCGCTGCGGGGCGGCCTTGCTGGGCGCCAGGATTTGCGGGGCGCTCTCGGCGCAGTGGCCCCGGGCTTCCCAGACCTTACTCAAAGGGGGCGCATGGTCTACGGAAGTGCCCGCGGCCGCTGGAGCACGGCGCTGGCCGATCTCAAGAAGTTCAAGCGCACGCGCGCGAGGTGGTTCCATGTGGCTCTGGCCGAGCGCTTGGGCACTCGCCAAAGCGGGCAGACTCCACGGCGCGGAACACATCGAGCACTGTCCGTGTGAGCTCTGGTGCGCATGCCCGTAGGTTACCGGCCGCCTCATCGTGCATCAGCGGCTGCGGCCGATCGGCAGAGGATTTGCCCCTCGTCCGATTCGCTGCGCGACGGAGCCCATCTGCGAGCGTGCGTGGTTGGCCCAGCATGGGGTGCATGACCCTCAGGTGGATGGCACCCGACTTTGTCAGATCGCAGCGACGAGACCATTCGTGTCCTGCTGCCTCAAGCTCGGAGCCGAGTGCAGCTGTCCACCAGCAGCCCCAGCCCGCGTGGAGTGTGCTCATGGAAGCACACCGCCCGTGGGCGAACCGTCAGCCTTCCCACAGGGGGCCAGGCAACTGGGACTACCATTGGTGCGATGAAGAGGATTTGGTTGGCGACGGACTATGGGTTGGCGATGGGGCATCCCGTCGCTGTACCCTTGTGTCTGACGGTGACCCTCGATCTCTTTTCTTTCGCGCCCCCCCCCCCCCCCCGCGGCGTAGTGGACTCCCCTGCGCGCCGTGATTTCTTCGTTCCTGGACGAGCATTCGCGGGAACAAGATCTTCATCATTTTCCACCACATCGTGAAGTTCTTCTGCATCTACTCTTCAGTGGTGCCGAACGCGGCCGCCCTTCCGCCTTAGGTGGAGGGGCATGTCCCTCTGTTTCCCGAACACCCACGCATTTTTGTGCCGAGTGTTTTGGGGTCTTGGGCTTTTCCTCCATCCTTTTTTCTTGGGTTGGGCCCCGGGGTGAACTCGCGCGTTAGATCCCCCCGTTGGGGGCTAAGGCGGGGCATGTGTTTTGCCCCGTCGGAATAGGCGCCTTCACTTTGAGCGGTGGCCCCGTTGTGGGTTTTGTGGGTCGGCCCCGTGGGGCCGTCTTGAGCCTTGCCCTGTCCGCCCCTACCTTCCTTTTCGTTTTTTCCTGAGGATCGAGCAGAAGATGGGAGGGCGCTGCAGCATTCAGCTTCGTGCAACGGGATGGGATACAGGGCGCGCGCGCTTTGCCGTCGTCGTCCCTGTTCCCCATCCCTCGCTGCGCTTGCGATTGCATGCGCGCGTGTGTATATATACAATCATGCTTATTTCTCTATATAGCCCCAAGGAAGGAACTCGTCCGCTTTCGAAGGCGAGGCGGGCCTTCAATTACCACGGGTTTGAGTCTCGTCCGAAGGCTGTTCAATGCCCATTGTCGCGCGGGGGGCGCGCGGTCCAGCAGAGGTTTTTCGTTGTTTGTTTCCTTTCTCCTTCGCTGCGTCGTTTGTTTTCTGCTTCCCCCCCTTTGTGATCGCGCTTGTCGTCGAGGTCATCCGAGTATCGTGGGCCGGCGCGGCGCCCGTGCAGTTGGCTTCGAAGCGTCTTGCGATGCCCCCTGGACGGCCCAAGATACTTCCAAGAAGGGTCCCTGAGAAACCCGAGGCGAGGTAGTCGACCCCCCAGAACCTCCCTCAAATCATTCAATGTGCCCCCAACAGGCCGCCTGAAGGCCCCCAAATCCTCCACAAGCTCACGAAATACTCCTATGCCCCCTTGGGCTCCCCCAAGGAAAGCCGCATCATATTTCAAAATGTTTCCAACACGCTTTGAACCACATCTCTTGGACTAGATGGAACCCAAGCTCTCGCGCGAAACGCGCGCGTGGCTCCAGAAAGAGCGATCTGAAGACAGCGCTGCGTAATCTAGAAGGCTTCCTGGGGCGTCCTTCTCTTTCTCCCCTCTCCCCTCTCTGCCTCGTGCCACTCTTCCTCGCCCTTCCCCCTCACACTTCCCCCTCCTTGGCCCCTCCCCCCCCCCCCCCCCCGTGAGTTAAACGACATCATCGCCGACGACGCTGGTGCCGACCACGCCGACGCCGACTTTCACGAAGATGCTGACGACGACGCCGACGACGACGGCGACCACCCCTGAACTCTTCTTGCGCTGCGTGGTGGCAAGGATTCCGACGCGAACCCAGCTGTGGCGACGACAGGCCTCTTGAAGGCCCGATGGGCCCCCAACAGTGTCCAAAACCTCGACCCTTGAACCTTCGAGCCTCGATGCTGACGGCGACGCCTACGGCGACCCCAGGCATGCGACATTCTGATTTTTTCAGTGCGCGGTCCCTGGGAGTCCCGACCTGTTCCCCGCGACCAGCTTTTCATCCGGAGTTGTTTTTTGACGGTCCCGAGGCTCGGCAAGAGCCCCCAGAGGCGGAACTTTATGAAAAACATCCGTCCTGACTTTTGTTCGACACGATCATGCTTGGGACGCCGACGGCGACGCCAGCGCCGACGACCGCAATGACGAGCGACGAGCGCACGAGAGGCCGCCGGCCGCGCCGTCGGCATCCCACTCGGCGCCTTGGAGGCGCTACGGCGCATCGACGCGCTCGTCGCTGGCTGACGTGACCGCAGGCCCGGCCGGCCGACGCGTCCCGCGCCAGCTGCCAGCAGCCCGCCGCGGCCCGCGCGCACTGTCGGCCTCTGCTGCTGGAGTCCCACCGGCGGAGAGGCTCCCCACAGAGATCCGATCCCACACATGCCCGCGCAAACAATCGAGACGGGAGGTTTTGCGCTGTTTCCGGCCTCTGGGGGGGCCCTCGCTGGGCCCTGGGACCGTCAATAAACGATTCGGGAACACCAGGAAAAGGGTCGGGATATCCGGGGCGCGCGTGCGTATTGAAAAAATCAGGACGTCGCATGTGTGGCGCCTCTGCTGCTGGAGGCGCATCGGCGGAGTGGATCCCTATAGACATCCGAGGTCTTGACCTCTGCAATACGGGTTTCTCAGCAGCCTCGACCCACTCCCCGATCACTCTCTTCACGGCCCCAGGGCCTGTCGAGGGCTTCGCTGGGGGCCGAAAACCGGGGAGCTTTTGCGCATTGACGTTGGATCTCTGGGTCTGGGGCCGCCGCCGGAGGCCGCCGCCAGAGGCCAGCGGGATGGCGGGCCGAGGTCGGCGCGGCGGGCGGTGCGTCGACGGCCCCCTGCCGGTGCCGCCCCGTCAGCGGCGCAGCGCAGGAGGAGCGGACAGGCTCAGGGGGGATGCATCGACCCCCCCATGCATCGTCGATGGGGCCCTGATAGCGCAGCCGGACCCCCCTGGCACGTTTCCCCGATGACCCGCCAGCGGCCTGGCCCGCCACGCCTGGGGTGGCCCGCCGCGCCTGGGGTGGGCCGCCAGCTGCCGCGCACCCGCTGCGCAGCCGCGGTCGCTGGGCGCGTCCCGCCTGAAGAGATATGGGCCGCCTGCTTCTGCTGCTCCGATCTTCTGCATGACTGGCCCGGCCTTCCGCTCTGTTTCCTTCATCCTCTTCCTGCTGCTGCTGCCCTCCCTCCTGGCTCCCTCCCCTTCCGCGTACGATGGCTGCTTCTGCAGCTGCTCCTGCTCCCGCTGCCCATTCTCACCTCATGCCGAGGACAATCAGGAATCCCCCATTAACCCCTTATACCTGATTATCCCTGGGCTCCGCACGTTTCTAATTGCCACGGCAGGCGGGGGGGCGATCTTTATGATCACCCCCAACATTAACATCTTAGCTCTGATCTTGTTCGGGTTAAACCCCTGCCCCGGGAAGGAATGTAGGAAGCAGCATGGCAGTTTAGCATGGTAGTTGGGTGCAGCATGCAGCATGGCCGGCCGGCAGAGAGACAGACCGGAAACGTTTTGGCTCAAGAGCGCAAGGGAGAAAAAGCAATATCCCCTCAACATGGTAGCGGAGCCTGGTCAGATCTGAGACAAGCGGGTGGCTCCGTGGTCTCAGGTTCGGCTGGGCTCCTCTGTGCATGGGCAAACAGAGACTTCGATCTGCAGAGTCGAGGTCCAACCGACAACTACGAGGCTCGGCGCTGCGACGACACGCAGCGGGCGAGCAGCCAACCACAGAGGAGCAGAGGGCCTTGAACCTGAAGCGCCTCAAGAAGGAGATCGACGACGATTTCGACGAGTTCCACAATGGAGGAACAATTCAAAGCAGTGTTGGAAACACTCCAGCGCTTGGAGGACGAGAACACGCAGCTGAAGGAGCAGCTCAAGAAAAACGAGGACGACGAGGCCAGGAAGAAGGAGGCCGACGACGCCAAGAAGAGCGAGGCCGCAGCTCGTGCGAGATCTACCCCGCTGGTCCCGACCAGCGTGGACACCAAGCTGATCAACAAGCCAGGCGAGTTCAGCGGGAAGGAGGCGGACTGGCCGAGGTGGTCTCTGACCATGCGGGCCTACCTCGGAGCAGTGTCCGGCCGGATGCTGGAGCTCATCCGGAAGGCAGAGAACTTCGACGAGAGCCTCGACACGGTGGACCTGGACCCGGGCGACGACCAGCTGGACGCACAGTTGTACTTCATCCTGACGACGCTGCTCAAAGAGAGCATGATGGAGAAGCTGGAGACCGTCGAGTACGGAGAAGGTCTACAACTCTGGAGGTTCCTGGTGGCAGAGTTCGAGCCGAAGCTCGCGTCTCGCAAGATGGCCCTGCAGCAGGCGTACCTCAACTTCACGTTCAACAAGGACGAGGACCCGCGGAAGGGCATCGACAGGCTCGAGACGCAGATCCGCCAGTGCCAGGCCGCCACCAAGAAGACCGTCGACGACGACACCCGGACCGGAGTGCTGTTGAAGCCGCTGGCCGGCGGCAGCGAGTTGCAGAAGAAGTTGGGCGACCACTTCGTTCTCAATGCGTACCGCGTGGACACTTTCATCGAGATGAAGAGGGAGATCCAGGAGTACCTCGGAGTCAAGCAGTGGCTCGTCCCTGGCGGTTCGGCGGAAGTCCTGGCCGTGGGGGCCGGCGGTAAAGCTAGCCAGAAGGGCCAGGTGAAGGGCGAGCTCAAGATCAAGTTCGCTGGAGATTGCTACTGCTGTGGCAAGCCTGGCCATAAGAAAGTAGACTGCTGGTGGAATCCAGAGAGAAAGCCACCGCCGTCGAGCGTTGGAAAAGGACGAGGAGGAGGAAAAGGGAAGGAGAAGGAAGGAACGGGGAAGGGACGAGGAGGAAAAGGTAAGGAAAAGGATAGCAAAAGGAGGAGGAAAGGATAGCAAAGGAGGAGGAAAGGATAGTAAAGGAGGAGAAGACCGGGATCAGAGCAGGAAGAGGCAGAGGTTGGACATCGCTGCGATCGAGGAGCAGATGCGGGCGCTCAGCCTGAGCATCGGCGCGCTGAGGGACCAGGACTGGGGGCGTGGAGCTGCGCCAGGTCTCCGAGGCGCACGAGGTCGGCATGGTCCACGCCCAGACGACGACGAACCACGTAACCATGGGCATTGACAGCGGCGCGGATGTCACGGTGTGGTCCCCGGTGCTCTTCCCGCAGGTGGCCACGGAGGAGAGTCCAGGATTTCGTCGGGGAGTGAAGTTTTTTGGACCAGGAGATCGTGAAACCCCTAGCCTTCCCAATCTTGGACGACGACGGTATGATTTCAGGATAGGAGGTTTGAGGAGTAGCGCCAACGTGAACGTGATGCCGGTGAGGAAGCCTCTGCTGGCGATGTGCTCGATGATGGACGCCGGCCACGACCTGCATTTCAAGCGCGGCGGCCGGTGCTACGCAAAACACTGCAAGACCGGGGAGGAGATCGAGATCACACGTCGAGGAGGTAAATTTGAGATCGACGCCGAGGTCGTGCTGCCGCCGTCACCCCCTGTCGGGGGGCCGGCGAGTCCGTGAGTCCCCTGGAGTCCGGCTCAGGAAGGGCAGGCGGCAACAATGCCGTGCCTGAGCCGGGTAGTGGCCCTATGGGGGAGGATGGGACGAAAGAGCAGCAGGAGGAGCTGCAGCAGAAGCAGCACATCGAGCACGAGATCTTCGGAACTCGGGGAGGCGGCGCGCCGGCGATGATGGCACCGAACCTTCCGACGCCGGAGGAGACAGCGAGGCACGATATCGATCACATGCCCTACGCCGCTTGGTGTCGTAGCTGCGTGGCTGGCAAGGGTGAGGCGGACCCACACTTCCTGAAGACGTCCGACGACTTGGGTGTCCAGGGAGTGGCTTGTGACTATTGCTTCGTGGGTGACGCCGTCGAGAGCGACAAGACTACCGACAAGTGTTTGCCCATCCTTGTCCACAAATTCTACGGCGATCGCTGGGTATCGGCACGCGTGGTTCCACGCAAGGGCCCAGAGACGCACGCTGTGAAGGCCACGGTGGACGACGTTATGCAGGCAATCTTCGGCAAATTTACTTACAAGAGCGATGGGGAGCCTGCGATCAGGTCGCTCAAGCAGGAGGTGGTGAAGAAGTTGCGGGAGGTTGCTGGCCCTGTGGACGTCTGGAGGAGAGCGGCACGTCCGAGTCGCAGCTGAATGCTGTTGTCGAGCGTGCTATCTGGGTGTTCCAGAGCACGGCTCGCACCCTAGTGCACGCGTGCTTGGAACATCATCGCGTCCAGGTGCCGCTCAAGCACCCTCTGAGGATCTATGCCGTGGAGTACGCAGGGCAACTACTGAACAGGTCCCAGCGTGCCGCCAAGGACAACAGGACCGCCGACGAGATACGCAAAGGCAAGCCCTATCGCCGGAAACTGCCTCCATTCGGGGAGGCCGCGATGTACGTGCCAGTGTCGACGGCGCGGCGGCGACGGAAGTTCGAGGACAGGTGGGAGGCCGGCATCTACTTGGGGCTGGTGGAGCGCAGCAACATGTTGCTCGTCGGCACGCCCCGCGGCGTCTTCAAGGTGAACTGCGTGAAGCGGTTGATGGAGATCCAGTCCAGCGACCCGGAGCTCTTGAAATCCATCGTTGGGGTCCCCTGGGACCCAGTACCTGGAGAAACAGGAGGCCAAACCGTCGACTACGAACCCCTCCGGGCAGCTGAACCAATCGCCCCTGAGGCGGAGTTGCCCCCGCGAGTTCCGAAACCAAGATCTTCAGAAGTTAGTCCGACAAGATTTTACATTCGTCGCGAGGTTGAGCTTCGAGCAGACGGTTTCTCAGACAATTGTCTTGGATGTGCAGCGGCATCTGAAGGCCGACCAGCACGCCTTCACGCACAGGAGTGCCGTAACAGGATCGAGGCGGCGGTCTTGGCGGACGAGAGGTCCGAGGTTCGACAGCGAGTCGAAGAAGCCCATCGTCGACGAGGCGAGGCAGGAGCACCACCAGACAGACGACCAGGGGGAGCACAGGTTCTACGACCAGGCGAAGTCGCAGGAGAGGCGCCGACGGAAGCGGGTAGCGCCGCGCCGTCGGGCCAGCCAGGGAGCGCGCCCGAAGCGGGTAGCCCCGCGCCGGCAGACGCTCGGAGACAGCCAGGGAGCGCTCTGGAAACGGGTAGCCCTGCGCCGGCGGACGCTCGGGGCCAGCCGGGTTCGCAGGAAGCGGGTAGCACCGTGCCGGCTAGCAGTCCAGGCCAGGCTCCGGCACCCCCTCGAGCAGGAGCGGGTAGCACCGCACTGCGGAGAGGTGAGGTCAGGGCTGGGGACGACCCAGCCAGGTAGTCCGCACGATCGGGCTGCCAGGAGGGCGCGACGCGAGGTCGCGGAGATTGTGGGCGAGCTGATGCACCTGGGAGCGGCTATCGGGCCGCGGCTGCAGGAGGCGATCCGGCAGCCTAGCAAGGACGACGTCGACGTTATCGAGTCGGAAGGGTTTTGCAGGAAGCGGTTCACTGACCAGGCGCCCCGGTGGGGGGTGCACCCCGGGGTCGCACTAGATCTGACTACGGGTTGGGATCTTGATGACCAGACGCGCGTGGAGCAGGCGGAAGGCCTTCGAGGCACTGTTCGTCCCAAACTGTTGATTGGGCGTGCGCATTTTGGAACGAATCGCAGCCTGAACCACGGAAAGCTGCAAGACGGACACTATACTTCCTCCACGAGCACATGAACGGTGCCGCCCCTGTCCACGAGCAGGGGGAAAAGGAGGGGGGGGGGGGAGGAGGACGGTATCCATCTGCTGGGTAATGGGAGCGCCCAGCATGCGAAGGCCGGAAGGGCCGCAGGATTTTTGACCAACTCCGGATACATAGCCGAGGAGCTCACGAAGCTCCAGGGCAGCGACGACGAAAATGCCACCAGCAGCGCGGGGGCCGTGAGTCCCACCGCGGAGAGTAGGCCGGCCATAGTGGCGGCAGCGTTGCGGGGTCTGCGCAGGCAGCTGCATCAGGACGGCGCGGTCAGCATCGACGCCCTGGAGCTGGGCCTGACCGGCCACGACACCCAGGAGTGGGACGAAGACGGGCTCGAGCAGTTTTTCGACGAGCTGACGGGCGAGCGGCTGAGGCCGAAGGGCGTCAGGGAGGCCAAAGTCAAGGAAATTGAGTTTCTTCGCACCTCCCCCGTCTATGAGAAGGTGCCGGAGGCGATGGCCAAGGGCAAAGAGTTCATCTCGACAAGGTGGACCATAACCAGCAAAGGGGACGTGGTCGCACCAGACGTTCGAGCTAGATTCGTCGGGCGCGAGTTCAAGTGGAAGTCGCCGGGGATGGAGAACACTTTTGCCGCGACTCCACCACTGGAGTCGTTGAAGTACCTGCTGTCCCGGTTCCAGTCGCGCAGGAGGGGTCCAGACAGGAGCCCCGGAGAGCGAAAGATCCTAGTCTTGGGCGTCTCTCGACCGCATTTTCATCCAAAGTGCCGCCGGGAACTGTGCATCCGGCTGCCAGAAGAGGACGCTCAGGCAGGCTTCGTGGGCAGATTGCTGCGCGCCCTGTGCGGGGCACGGGATGCAGCAAACGTCTGGGGCGAGTTCTTCAGCGAAGCGATCGTCAGGCGCGAGCGCGAGGTGGGGCTGTCATCACCTTGTCTGTACTATTGCGCTGCCGAGGACAGTGCTGGGTGGCGCCACGGAGACGATTTAGTTTTCGAGGGACCTGCATGGCGAGTGGTTAGACCGGCTCGAAGAGGGCCTCCGGAGCGTAATGATCCTTAAGAGACGCGCGAAACTTGGCTGGGGCACAGCAGACGACAAGCACGCGGCCATCCTGAACAGGTTGGTGGACTTGAACGATGCGTCTCGGGTGGTTTCTCTTGAACCTGACCCGCCCCATGTTGACTTACTTCGTGGCTTGGTTGGTTTCGACGGCCGGTCGAAGTCCGCGGCGACACCGGCCGACAAGCGGTTGGAGGACATGCACGACGAGGAGCCCCTAGGCCGAGGGCGGGCGACAGCATTCCGATCCGCAGCAATGAGGCTAGCTTATCTCGCTGCAGACGTCCTGGTGCACGGGTTCAGCGCAAACAGGCTGGCGAGATTCATGGCTAAGCCAACGGTTGGGTCTTCGGCACGCTTGAAGAGATGCTTGAGATACCCGCACGGTCACGGCCGATGGATCCAGAATTCCCCGTTGCAGGACCGGCCCGGAAGGATCGACGTGTACGCAGACAGCGACTGGGCTCAGGACCCTGATCGAAAGAGCGTGTCTTGTGTAGTCACCATGCACGGCGCGCACTGTCTGCGAGTGCAGGTGGCGACCCAGACGGCCCCTGCATTGAGCTCTGGCGAGGCGGAGTTTGCCGCCCAGGTCAAGGGCGGCCCCACCGCCATCGGCATGAGATCGATGATCCGAGACATGGGGGGGGACAGGTGTCCATAGACTTGCACGCCGACAGCGCGGCAGGCAAGGGCATCGCGTCAAGAGTGGGCTTGGGCAAGGTCCGTCATCTTGACACGGGTTTGCTCTGGCTACAACACCACGTCAATCGCAGAGACCTCCGGACCAGGAAGGTGCATAAGGACGAGAACTTGGCGGACATCGGTGCGAAAGCCGTCAGCGTCATAGTGCAGGAGATTTTGATGAAGTTGATGAACTTCAGAAAGGCCACAGGACGGCACCCGAAGGCGCTGAAGATTGCCGGAGAAGGGGTCGAGCCAGAAGCGGGCAGCACCGCGCTGGCCGACGAGCACGACTGAGAACGACCTTTCTGCGACCATGGGCGTTTGAGTTCAGAATGGCAGCGGTTAGAGCGTGGCCTGTCCTGCGAAGACAGGATGCGGCCAAGGAGGGGCGTTCGGGTTAAACCCCTGCCCCGGGGAAGGATGTAGGAAGCAGCGTGGCAGTTTAGCATGGTAGTTGGGTGCAGCATGCAGCACGGCCGGCCGGCAGAGAGACATACCGGAAACTCTTTGGCCCAAGAGCGCGAGGGAGAAAAAGCAATACTCCCTCAACAGATCTTCGTATCATGCACAGCACAATGAGTAATCCTTATCTATCTCAGGGAAAAGTTGGTTGTCCTTCCTGGACCCCGAACTTTTTTGTATCTTAGCATGATTACTCTCGCCGAGCATAGGTCATGCTCATTCCTCTGTTGTCGGCCATATTCCTGCTCCAGCACCCGCACCACCCCAACCTCCCCTCGCATCTCCTCTTGCGTTTCCTTCTCCTTTTGCTCCTCCCTCTCCTCCTGCCCAACTCTCGCCTCTTGCGCCAAGTTTGGAAACTTCGCAAACCGTATAGCAATCTTTGGGTGCCGCCCAAGACAACCAATAATATCCGAGAGTCTTATCCACTTTCATTTGTGTTTCTTATTGTTATTCTTCGTGTTCTTCTTGCTTCTCCTCCTTCTCCTCGTCCTCCCTCTCCTGGGAGAGGTTGGGAACGGAAGTGGGCATGCTTGAGAACGTGTTGGAGCTTCGGCATATCGGGGAGGGAGGAGGAGAAGGACACAGGCCCAATTTTGCCTGCAGACGGGCAGCCTTGGATGCAGTTTATGACAGTCTGTCCAGTGAAATGGAGCACACGAAGGTCTTATGACAAATCCGCCGATCCGGCGTGTGAGTTTCAAAGAGCGTGAGCTTGAGCTTTGCCTGAGCTCCGCTCTGCAAGGGGAGGCCACCGTTCAGCGTTTTCGCCCGCCCCCCCGACTGCAGGGGGTGGGGGGGCCCCCGTTCAGCGTTTTCGCCCGCCCCCGCCCTGGCCTCGGTCCCTGCTCCGGCCGTTGCCCGGTCTTGGCCTGGGTTCCGACCCGGCCCCGGTCCTGGTCCAACCTCCCACGGGCCCGGCCCTGGCCCCCGGCCCCCGACCCCTCCCGGTCCTGACTTCGGCCCCGGTCCCGGCCTTGGCCCCGCTCCCGGTCCCGGCACCAGACCTGGGGAATCTGCAGTTCGTGCGATATATGGGTGTATATATATAAATATATCTATCTATATATCTATCTATCTATATATCTATCTATATATCTATATATGCATCTATCGATATATCTATCTATATTTCTATCTATCTATCTATCTATCTATCTATCTATCTCTATATATATATATATATGCATATGGATGCACGTATTTCTATATTTATGTATGCAAGTTGAAACATGATCGCATACATTCCATGTATACCTGCATACTTACATACATACATACGTACGTACGTACGTACGTGCATACATGCGTGCATGCATGCATGCATGCACGCATACATTCATACATTCATACATTCATACATTCATACATTCATACATTCATACATACATACATACATACATGCATACGTGCATACATGCATACAAACATTCACACATTCAGACATGCATACATACATGTGCACATACATATGACTTTGCATCTACATATTGCGAAGGCCTTACGGCCGGTGCCGCCGACCCTGGAGGCCTCACGAGGCGTGAGGTTGCGGCCAGGGGCGCCCGTGCCGCCTTCATGGGGGCGGCGGGCGCGGCTCGGCCCACCGGCGGGGCGGCGCGGGCTGGCTCAGTGCGCTGTGGTCGTCGTCGTCGTCGTCATCGTCGTCGTCGGGTGTGCTGTCACACGACGACGGCGGCGGCGACGACGACGACGACGACGACGCTGACGTGGGTGAGATTCCTGGGATGCTTCGTGGGGTCTCTTTGGAGCGCTCTTTCGGGTCTCTGGGGAGCAGTTTGGGGGCCTGTTGGGAGTCGCTTGGGGGCCTCTTGGAGCTTCCTGGGGGCCTCCTTGGGGCCTCGTGGGGGCCTCCTGGAGCCTCTTGGGGCCTCCTGGGAGCCTCTCAGGGCTGAGAGCTCGACATGTCAGGTCGGGTCCCGCATCTGGGCACCCTCTTGGAGCCGTCTTGGGCGCCTCTAGGACCGTCTTGGAGACGTCTTGGGCCGTCTTTGCGCTTTCTTGGGCTGTTTTGGGACCCTCTTGGAGGCCTCTTGGGCCGTCTTAGGGCGATCTTGGGGGCCTCTTGGCTTGTCTTGGAGCGTCGGGAAGGGGAAGAGTCGAGAACGCCAAAATCATTCAAAAAACAATAGGACATCAATGAATTTAGCTTCTTGGGGCCGTCTTGGGAGTGCTCCTGGTAGGCCTCTTGGAGCGTCTTGCAGGGCTCTTGGGTCGTCTGGAGTCCGTCAAGGCGTCTTGGACAAGTCGTTCGGCGATTCGGGGCCCTTTTGGACCGTCTTGGAGGCCTCTTGGGGCACTCTTGGCCCGTCTTGGAGCTTTTCTGGGCCCCGGGATCCCCGGGGAGGGGGCGTCGTATCTGACGCGCGCCCCCCCCCGGGACCCCCCCCCGGGACCCCCCCGGGACCCCCCCCCGGGACCCCCCCCCCCCCTCCCGGCGGGGGAGGGATCAAAGGGAAGGGGCTTCCCTTCGACTCAATTACGACGTTGCTCAAGTTCGGTTTGGCTGGCGCGCTTGAGGAGGAGGCGCTGGGGAAGGAGAGGGGAGCGGCGACGGGCTTTTCTGGGCCCCGGGATCCCCGGGGAGGGGGCGTCGTATCTGACGCGCGCCCCCCCCCGGGACCCCCCCCCGGGACCCCCCCGGGACCCCCCCCCGGGACCCCCCCCCCCCTCCCGGCGGGGGAGGGATCAAAGGGAAGGGGCTTCCCTTCGACTCAATTACGACGTTGCTCAAGTTCGGTTTGGCTGGCGCGCTTGAGGAGGAGGCGCTGGGGAAGGAGAGGGGAGCGGCGACGGGCCCAGGGAAAGGGGGGGCGCAGGGGAAAGGAGACGACAGAGACGACGACTAACGAATGACGGAGATGACGAGTCGAACGGACAAGCCCCTCACACACGCCGACAGGGTCGGCGGATATTCACATCACATGTTTATAGTTGCGCACTTTTTGGTGCAGCATATCGCTTCGCAGTACTCCTTTCCGCAAAAGACCACACAGTTCACACCCGCGCACACAATCCGAGCGTACACCAAACACATTGGTGTTGCAAGCATTTCAACATGAGCCTTGTAAGTCCCATGGGTCTTTCATTACAAATCTTACGTTCTTTCGGCTCGCGTGCAATTGCTGAAGTCTCGGTGAACCATATGAGGTTTAGCAATGTCGCCCAGAACCCGAATCTTCATCTTACCACGCGGTTCATCCGCGTTGACGTAGCATGCGCCCAGTGCACGAACCCATGTTACATAGCACCATGCGGGTCACATGCGCGCTCCGCCACGCGCGCGTATCAAAATCCTTGCAACACCATTGAGTTTCGAACCGTTCCAATCTAGAAACCAACCACATATGAAACCAGTTCTTCGTTCACCAAGAGGTCTGCCTGTTTTTTGAATTTCTGCGTTCGCACATTCTCATCACCCGCATCTGCATCATCGCATCACCGCCGTTATTCCCATCATCATTCGCCACCACTGCAGCCAACACCAGCACAAACACCTTCGCCACGGACACGTGCACGTCATCTTCGTCATCGTCGTCACCCACACTTGCGCAGTCGTTTGCCTTGCCGTCGTCATCGTCATCATCGCCACCATTACCGCTATCATCATCGTTGCCGCCGCTGTCGACGTCATAATTATATCGCGCCCGCCCACGCCAACGACCCGCACTGAAGTGCCTCTTTGACGATCGCGCGGCCTTTAAGATGGGCTGCGAAATTCACATCGGCAAGCGCCATCGCGGCCGCGTCGGTTGTGTCAAACCAGCGTGTCGCCCTACGTACGTGCGTGCCCGTGTGCGCGTCAGCGCGGCCCTAGAGATAAGCTGGCAAGTGCCAGTCAGCCACCGCAATCATGGTTGCATGGGTTTTACAAAACAAGTTGCGGGTGGGATGGTGGGACGCTTGCCCGAACAGTGGAGTTGATACATCATTATTGAGTAGGGTAGGTGCACTACGTTGTTCGCAGCAAATGCATTACACTACACAGTTTGCAACCAACGCGTATGTGCATATGTATGTTTATGCGGGTATAGTTGTGCATAGAGGTACTACATGGCGCAGATGGCACCACGTGTACTACACAGCATGTCTTGCATCATGTGATTTGCCCACAGATTTGTCCCGAATCGCATGTAACATCTTACGCCGTACTTTCCATTCCATGGAACACGCAACATAGAGTGCACAGCGAGAGTGCGAGCACCTAGTGTTTGGGGCTCGCGCTGGCAAGCTTTGTTTTTCCCAACCATCCTGTGGTGTTGGGTCCTCGTTTTGAAGAGACGGTCCCCGCGTTCCTCCTCTCCTCCTCTTCCCCCTCCTCCCTACCGTCCGCATGCGTCCCCCCACCCAGTACAGCGCTTCGTGGCCCCACAGGGAGCCCCACCGAAGGTCCCAGTGCTACCGTCCACATGCGCCCCCCCCCCAGTACAGCGCTTCGTGGCCCCATAGGGAGCCCCACCGAAGGTCCCAGTGCTACCATCCGCATGCGCCCTCCCCACCCAGTACACCGTTTCGTGGCCCCATAGGGAGCCCCACCGAAGGTCTCAGTGTTACCGTCCGCATGCGCCCTCCCCACCCAGTACAGCGCATCGTGGCCCCATAAGGAGCCCCACCGAAGGTCCCAGTGCTACCGTCCGCATGCGTGCCCCCCAACCCAGTACAGCGTTTCGTGGCCCCACAGGGAGCCCCACCGAAGGTCCCAGTACTACCGTCCGCATGCGTCCCCCCCCACCCAGTGCAGCGCTTCGTGGCCCCATAGGGAGCCCCACCGAAGGTCCCAGTGCTACCGTCCGCATGCGTCCCCCCCCCCAGTGCAGCGCATCGTGGCCCCATAGGGAGCCCCACCGAAGGTCCCAGTGCTACCGTCCGCATGCGTCCCCCCACCCAGTACAGCGTTTCGTGGCCCCACAGGGAGCCCCACCGAAGGTCCCAGTGCTACCGTCCGCATGCGTCCCCCCACCCAGTACAGCGTTTCGTGGCCCCATAGGGAGCCCCACCGAAGGTCCCAGTGCTACCGTCCGCATGCGTCCCCCCACCCAGTACAGCGTTT